CACTGTGTGACTGTGGGCAAGCTGTTTGACCCTATGTACCTCAATGCTCCTGTCCTCTACAATGGAGATAATCACAGTATCCACTTTATAAGGTCGTTATGAGAATACGGTGAGTTAACATATGTAAGGGACTTACAGCAGTCCACAGTGCCGAGTAGATATAAGCCTCACATCATTATTAAACATTTTAACAATGCAGAAGAAAGCAAAATTCATACCAGACGCTACCACCCAGGGTATCTTCTTCCAGCCATCTCTCCTTGGGCCGTAGTTTTATATAAATGCGATTTACGATATGTGTAGTTCAAATACTGTTCTCCCCCATTTAACCACATGTCTTAGAGATTTTTCCATATCGGTCCATATAGATCTACTTCAATCTTTGAAAATTAGTATTTATGAGCAACAGTTTATTTGCCTAATATTGCTGACTTGTGGGCATGAGGTTTGTTTTCAGTTTTTCACTATTGCAAACAACACCGTGTGTGCCTGCTTATGCATATGTGTTATTGCATTTGGGTTGTTATCTCCTTGGACTAAATCCTAGAAATGAGAATGCTGGGTCAAAGAACATGCACCTTTTACATTTTGATACATGTGGCCAAGCTGCCCTTTCGAAAGATTATACCAATTACATTCTGTGTATCCATGATGTTTTCTTGTTGAACCTTTTTCATTTTGTTTCTGGGTCTCCCACCTGATTTACCCTATGCCCCAGGTGAGATCACCTGAATGCAGAAGGCAGTTGGGTGAACATATTATTTTTATTAGTCCATGAGATCATGGGCTGTCAAAGAAGCATTGTCATTGATGGTACTTCCTGAGGGTGGCTGTGGAGGAGTATGGTGCAGCTGCCATGGCTCCTCCCGAAGCAGAAAGGGTGAACCATGAAGCATGAGGAAGCCTGTTGAAAAAGTGACTTTGATGAATGTTAAGCATTGTTCTCTCCAGGCTACACATTGAAGCAGCCTGGTTGATATGACCTGATTTTGCATGTGAGCAGAGGCTTCGAGTGGCAGATTGCCCTTTGCAAAGATGGCTGCAACCCCAGCTCACATTGCATATACTTGTGCACAATGGGACCTTGTCATGCTCCATCAAGAGGTGGAAACTAATTCCTTTCCTCTTGAATCTGGGCTGGCTGGGGACTGCTTTAACCAAGAGAGTCTGGTGGAAGTGATGCTCTTACTAACTTGCTGAACCACAAATTTGGGGGCAAAATAAAATGATAATTGCTTTATGTCACTGTTTTGGGGTAATTTGTTACACAACTATGATAATTGGAACATTTAGCCACTGTGTATTGGGAAAGACAGTCCTGTGAAGTGCAGCAATCTTCGACCTTAAGGTACCTGAGAATCAACTGGGGGCTTTCATTAGTAATGCAGATTCCTGGGCCCCACCTCCAGAGGTTCTGATTCATTAGACTTGGTGTGAGGTTGGACAATCTGCATTTTCAAATGAGCGGTCCAGGAAATTCTGACATAGTTGGTACTGAATCAAAAACTTTGGTAAATTCTTTAAGAGCAAGAGACTAAGATTTGAATTCTGATTCTGTGGCTACAATCTCTCTGTGCTGTCATTCCTTATCTGTAAAGTGGGAGAAATTATGGTTTCTACTTCATGTCGGTATTGAGGGCATTAAAAGAGATTATGGCTCTAGTGCTTATGCCTGACATGTAATACACATGGAGGAGATGGTGACTGTCAATATAGCGTAGTGGAACAGGAGCCTTAAGCTGGGCTTGCTTCTCCCCTGCCCTTGGACATTAAATGAAAAATGTTTTTTTGTATTTAACTGGGAATGGGGTCCAGAGTTTTAATCATATTCTCGAAGGGTCCTTTACCCAAAGAAGGTTGAGAATGCTCAAGAGAACTTTTTAGCTGTTTGACTTGGCTCCCAGGAGCCCTTTTTCTTTCCAACTGGAGCCTCTTGACTGTACCCTGTGGGTTAGCTCTATTGCAGAGCACAAAAGGGAGACTTTAAGGCATTTCAATTTCACTCTCTGGGACTCAATGAGAGGACAAGGTGGTTGGAACAGCATGGCCAAAGATCTGGAGGTAAGATTGAGCTGGAATTCATGGGGGGCGGTAAGCTGATATTAAGAAAAAGAGGCAGTTTGAGGTCTGATCATAAACTATGTAGAATGTTGGGTTAGGGAGTTGGGACTGAGGACGTAAGATGCCATGGCAAATTCTGAACAAGAAAATACAGGACCACTACTGTGATTCAGCAAGGTGTCTCAGGATGGTGGTTAGGGAAGAAAGTGGGCTGCTTGTTAAGGGAAGGGAAGAACTGTGGCTGCAAGGGCGAGCTCTGATGTTCCTACCCAGGAGTTCTCCGAGAGCTCGTCATAGCTGACTGCTTCTGTCTGCCTCCTCCGCCCAGGCGTGCAGGGTGATGGAAGAGCAGGGGGCTCCATTTTTCAGGCTGAACATTAAGGCCAGGTGGAGGTGTAGCAGAGGGAAGATGAAACTCCTGGTGTGTCCTTGGGAAAGCACACTTTCTCTCTTGGCCTCAGGTTCTCCCATTAGTAAAGTGAGGGGTTTTGAGATCTGGGTGAGTTTGTGACAGCTTTGACTTGCTACTTCAATACTTGCTGTCATACGATAGGGTGGCAAGCGCATTTTTACTCTCGTGCCAATGCTGCCTAGAGTGCTGTGTTGAGCTTGATTCTGAGGTGCAGTCTAGGCTCACTTTTGACACCATTGGGTTAAACTAATTTAGTTTTGTGATAGATTACCAATGTCTGCCCTGATTGTGACATGGGCAGTGACAGCATGCCCACTCATGTAGAAATTTTACATTCATACAGCATAACTTCAATTGTTCATGTTAACACCACCATAATTTTTGCTTTGTCTATGTCCTACCTTGATCATTAGCTTAATTTAAAGTTGATTACTATTTCTTAAAATTAATTTATTTTAAAATTATATTGATTATTTACATGATTATGAATCAAGATTATTAAAAAAGATACATGCAGAGGGGTATTTTCTATAAAAATAGAAAAAATTCTATTTTTATTTTCTAGCCCTTCCCTCTTCTTCGCATCCTTTCCTCCAAAGGCAGTCATTTTAATTTATTTTTGGTTTATCTTTCTATTGTTTTTCTGAAAGTTATGTAATCAATTAATATGTTTCTAAACTGTCTTTAGATCAACAAAAGTACCAACATGTACTTATTTACCCAAATTTTATTTTAAGTAATTTTTTTTATTGACATATAATGAATATACCGAAAAGCACACACATTTAAGTGTACAGCTCCACAAAATAAAAAATTGGAAACTCTGAGAGTGAATATATCCACCTAACCCCCTCTCAGATTAAGAAAGAGGACATTGCCAGTTATCCACAAACACTGCTCATCTATCATGTTTGTGAGGTGTTTGGGCATCTTCTTTTGTGAAGTGCCTGTTTAAGTATTTGGCTCATTTTTCAATTGTGCGGTCTGTCTTTTTACAATTGGTTTGAAGGGCTTCTTGATATATTCTGGAAGTGAATCTTGTTGATTCTAAATATCGCAACCATTTTCTACTCTGGTTTTTTTTTTTTTTACTCTCTTGATGGTGTCCTTCGATAAACAGAAGTTCTTAATTTTAAAGTAGCCTGGTTTCTCAATCTTTTCCTATATGATTAGTAATTATTTGTTCTGTTTAAGAAATATTTGCACCACAAAGTCATGAAGAGATTCTCCCATGTTTATCATCTAGAAGCTCTATTGTTCTATCTTTAACACTTAGATAGCATGAACTGATTTTTGTATAGTGAAGAAGGGTCTAAATTACATTTTCTCCATATAGACATCCTGCAGATCCAGTGTCATTTATTGAAAAGACAAATAAAACAAAAAAATTTTTGAGTTATCAATCGAATCATGGGTTTGCTATATAGTAATTTATTTTTCTCCTGTGTTATCTTCTAGGGGGTTTTATAGTTTTGTATTTCACATTTAGATCTGTGATCCATTGTGAGTTAATTTTTATGAAGGGTATAATGGCTGTTTCTAGATTTATTTATTTTTATATGTAGATGTCCAGTTGCCTCAGCACCAGTTGTTGAAACTAATTTATTTTTGTGATATAGGTCAAAATAAACATATATTTATGAAAACAAGAAATGCTTAATCTGCTTTAAACCACTTGAAATCATCTTACATTCCGCGCTTTAGGAAATCCCACAGTGGGATGTTGAGATCACAGCAGTAAATAAGACAGGGCTTTCTGTAGAAGTATGTTAAAAAAAAAAACAAACCTTAAGTCTTTATTATATAAGAAATTCAGATTTGTTTTAGAAACAATAGAAGATACAGATAAATATAAATATAAGTAAATAAAAGTCAGCTATAATCTTCCTACTCAGAGGTAGGCACTGCTGCCATTTGGTGTGTTCTTTTCTAGCCATTTTCCTTCATACAGATATATATAGTACCTTATAAAAAGGGAGTAATAAAATACATGCAGTCTTGTGCTCATAAGTTTTACTTAATATGTTCTTAACAGCTCTTCTTGTCAATAAGCCATATTTTTTCATAATCATTTTAATGGATGTTGATGCATAAAATGCTAACTGGTCCCTATTTCTTCCCCACTCCTAACTGCAGACTCTATCCCCTGCTTTAATCTTCTGCCTTCCAGACTTAATGGTACACACTACCATGGCTTAAGAAATAAAGTCAAAGACCTCTGTGTTACCTTTCTTGATTGCATTCCCTTTTCTGCCTCTGAGTAACTATATTCTAGAGTGAGTGCTTCTCATTTCTCATGCGTGCATATATTCTCATTACTATATCCATATGTATTTATTAATAATGTACAGTATTGCTTTGTAGGCTTAAAACTTCATATATAAAAATATTCTACTATAAACATCCTTTTGTATATTGTTTTCTTCACTCGAAATGATGCTTCGAAGTTTTATCTACATTGCTATATATAACTTTCATATATTCATTTTAACTGTTGTCTAGTATTCCATTATATGAGTGTAGCATAATTGACTTATTCATTTGCAACTAATAGTGAAAACAAAAAAAATGATGCTATCTTCTTGTGTAATCTGTAAGAATTTCTTTGGAGTTCATACCCAGAACTAGAATTACAGGATTGAAGTGTGATATATCTTTACCTTTACTAGGTGTTGCCTGCCAAATTGCTCTATACCCTGGTTATATAAACTTATAATTCTGTCAGCAATGTATGAAATTTCTTGTTGCTTTACATCTTAACTAACCCTTGGTATTTTTACATTTATATATTTTTATCCATCTGATGGGTGTGAAATGGCATCTACATTAGCCAAGACCCAGTTAGGAAATCAGACACCACACAAGGTATTTCAAGCAGAGGGACTTCAATACAGGGAATTGGTTGCATAGGTTTTGAGATATTGATAGAGCAAGAAGGGAACATAGAGGTGATCTAGCACTAATAGCTGCAGGAAGCATATGCCATCCAAAGGCTAAAAGAGCCAAAGAAAAGATGAGGGGACACTAAAATCTAGGACCTCAGAGAAGGGGTTTGGGGTGCTCAAACCTTGGAAGAAAGGATGTCATCAGCTGCTGCTGGTATCTTGGAGGAGTCTGAGGAGGCTGGATTTGGGAGGAAGAAAGTGGAGGCTGGAGCCAGCTTCTGCTGCTGCTAGAGTGGTGCTGGCAGGAAAGGAAGAAACAGGAACTAGGTCCCTTTTTGCCTCACCCCACCTTCCAATTCTTCTTGAGTATCTGTCATTGCTGGAACCTAACAGGAAGCCAGCTGGTCCTGGAGTCTGGGAAGTGAAGTATGCAGAGTCCTGGCCCCAACAATGGAGCAGAATACGGAAGGGTGGATTCAGGCAGAGAGACATTAGGTAAGTAATTCACAAAGCATCTCATTGTGTATATATTACATCTAGGTTCTTTCCATTTTTATGTGTAGCTAGCTATTTGAAACAGTGCTCCACAACATCCTTGCACATACATTTTCCTTAGAATTAGTTTCTGGAAGTAGAATTAAAGAGTCAAAGAAAATGCATATTTTTAAGGTTTTTGATTCAGGCTGACAAAACTGCTGGAGGAGTAGGTTTTGACGGAAAGGGAGTCCCTCCCATGATATATTCCTGGAAACCACATCATAGAGCAGATGGTAACAGAAAAGATCGCCTTCTACACTGGAATGCTATATCATCTAGGGATTGCTTTCTGCCCAAGGAATGAATGCCGGGAGACTGTAGTTCTAACTATACTAAGTCAGAAAAAGAGAGATATGGCTTCTATATAACTTATACTACTTATATTAGCCTCTGAATTTTGTAAAAGAGATATAAACATCCATTACCCATTGACCACAGAAAAGCCACAGGGAATTTTAAGTTGTGTCCACACAATTAGAGCACACAAAAATATAATTTCATAGCATCATTCATGCAATTTACCTCCAAATGATATATCTTTACACTAAGTGCTCAGTATTTAATTAACTGTGAATTTGTTGACTTAATTGGGCTGATGGGGCCAGGAGTGTATGTAGTGAGTCTGGCGGGGGCGGGGGGGCGGGCTGGGAGACAAGGGGCTGGTGGGGAGTAAAGAGGGAGATGAGTCTGAGTTTAGGAGAATGGAGGAAGTGGAGACCAGTTAGCACATTTGGAGTTCTGGAGAAGGGAACAGAAGGTACAGTGGAAGGAGGGAAGTGTTGGGGTGAAGGTGGGGCAGTGCTGAAGAAAAACCTCACCTCCATCACAATATAACTAAGACTACTCTACCTGGCCCAGATTCTTTGGCCTGTGTCTCTGCTCAGCTCTGTTGAGAGCATGAATCCCTAATCAGATGATTGCAATCATGAGACTCCCCACCAGCAGGTAATCAAGAGGACAGAGGCCCTGTCCATTGGGCCTGATATCCATCTCCAAGGGAGCTGCCTCTTCCATGCTCACCTTAGAGCTGGGTCCTGCAGAAATAAGCTGGATGTGGCACTGGCTTTGGCTGGGTATTATGAAAAATTCAGATTGATATGGGTTTTGAAGAAAGCTCCTGAAAATGTCTACCTCTTGACACTTTCTAAAATGTATGTTCAGGGCAGTTGGGAGGATGACTCCAAAACCTTCTCCAGCCCTGTCTCCTCTCTGAATTGCCTAGCTGAATGTCTCATAGGCACCTTGATGTCATCCTATCTACAGGCTGTATCTATCATGGGGGCAGGAACTGCCTGTTTAGTACACCATGATATACTCAGCACCCCATGCATTACTTAACACAGATATTTAAGAGGTGCTGATTGGATGAAGGATGGAGTTCTAAAGCAAAACACATCACTTTCCACTTGGAAAGAGTTCATCTCTGGGCTGCTTTGTTATTGATTTCACCATTGTTGTTGTCAAATTGATCCTTCATCTTCCTCCTTCTCACATCCTATTGGTCAACAAGTGCTATTTATCTTACCCCAGCAATATCTCTTGAATCCATGATCTCCTCTTTACCATTACCCACTGCCCTAAATTAGTCTTTTTCTGTACTTTGTGCTATCTTCTACTTCCTAATCTAAAATCTGCCATGGTTCCCTATTGCCTTCAACAAAAACTTCTTAGCTTGGCCTTCAAGGGTCCACCACTGGCCTCCATCATTCTTTTGTATGTATCATCCATTTCTCTTCTGTGGGTCTCTTACTCCCACCAAGCTGGTCTCCTCCTCGTTCATCAAAACTATTCTGGGTTTACCTGTCCTTAAATCTGGGCTCATACCTCTTGTCTGTACTCTCCTCTCTTCATTGGATGATCCTGGATTTGATCATCTCTCCTTCCACTGAGTTGAGAATCAGATAGAACTCACACAGTTAAGACCCACTCTATGTTGGTGTTGTATATCGGGTGCTGGTGATAAAACCGAGGCTCTGGTATGCTCAGGGATGGTCAAGGTCACACAACTACCACTTTTTGGCTATGTTCCATGTTTCAGGTACTCTTCTTGGTGTTTTACATGCTTTCTCCATAATCCTCCCAATAAACTTACAACATGTCATTCAAATGAGGATATAGCATTAAAGGATTCCACACCAGCTGTGTTCATTGCCAGGCATGACTACTGGAGGAAACTGGCTCAGCAGATGGAGTAAGTTATTACTGGGAGGACAGGAGCTCAGAGGACATCAGGGGTCACCTTGTGGATACTGGGTTCCTGAGGAAGGTGAGAGGAAGGAAAGGGGAGACGCAGAGCAAAACCTCCCTCCATTTATGTCAAATTATTTCTCTCCTGATGAGAGCTGAGATAAAATCTGGATGTTCAAATGGTGCTGTGGCTCTACTTGTATATAAGAAACACCTGAGTTGCTTCTCAAGTAGAACCTGGGATTCTGCATTTCTAACAAGCTTCCAGGTAATATTGATGCCGCTGGGTCCTACACGTTGAGTAGCAAAGGTGGAGGAAAGTTCAACCTATGGCCGTCTGTGACTGGGTCTGGGGTGCTCTGTGGCTGGGGTCCAGGATCAGTTCATGTTTGGGGAATTGGGCCAGTCCATAACTGGAGAATCGTGAAGTTGGCCAGACTTTTGACTTTGACCAACACTTCATCTGTTCTCCAACCTTTTAGCCATGAGTCATAATAAAGAGAGTGAAGGAGAGAAAAAAGATTTCTCTGGAAGTAAAGGAGAAGATGCAGGTCAGATAAGGGAAAGAATTTCTGAGCCATCAGGATTAGTTAGTTCTTGAGGAATTGCCCTATATCCTGGGAAGTGTCTGGATGGAAGAATCACCTCCTTTTCTGTAGAGATAATTTCTCCTCCTTCCTCTCTGACAAGGATTTAAGATCACTGTCACATCTGGGGGTTTTGTCCTTCAGGCCTGATGGCCAAAAATATATCTGTTTTGGGGCGGCAGTACAGAATGGAGAAGGGAATGGTTGTTTTAGACTAGGAGAGAAAAAAGGCAAAGTAAAGGAAACTAACATGTATTGACCTCTTACTTTATACAAGGCACTATGCCAGGCGTTTCTGTGTAAGCCCCCTGTTTGATCTTCCCAACAACATGTAAAATATGTCCAGATAAAGAAACAAAGACTCATAGGGGCTCAGACATGTAGCCATGGTCACTTGAGTGTTAGAGCCAGGTCTGTAATTTCAAAAACCCTGGCCACCTCCTGGATTTTAGTAAGATGAGTTCCAGCTGAACACAATGCATCTGAGGGGCCTCTGGTGCAGCGGGGGGAAACGCTCAGGTGCAGTGGCTGAGGTCCTAGGATGGCGATACAATAGAGTGGAGAGAAAAGAGGGTGCCGCAGAACCTACTCTCTTTTTCCTCCTCAGTAAGCAGAACCCCCCACTTTCAGCTGGACTCAGCCACCTAGAATAAAGACTATACTTCCCAACCTTCCGTGCGGCTGGATGTGGCCATGTGCTAGGTTGCCTTTGGTAAGGAGGGAGGGGAAGTCATCCTTGCTTGCCTTTGTCACTCTGCTTCTTTCTCCTTCCTATTGGCTAGAGTAAGGATGTGAACATCGAGCAGCTGTTTTGCACCATGAGGCAGTAGGAGTTTGAGTCCCTGCCAAACTCATCTGGACCCGTAGAGTCTATACACGTAAGAGACATGAACTTCTGTCTTATCTAAGCCACTGTTAGTGTGTTTCTTTTTCTGTAAGCTGAAATTAATCTTCACAAATGGAAAGGCCAAGGGCATATTCTTCATCCGGCGCTGCGGTTCTCAAACCCAGTTGTACATGACAGTGCTTGGGTCTTCCTAGGACCCGCTGAATGAGAGTTGCTGGAGGGTGGAGCTGGGCCTTGGTGTTTTAAACTTCCCAGATGATTCACCATGTGCAGCCACTTTTCTGGGGGAATCGGAAAGGATGTAGGGAGATGATGCTCATAAAGGTTGGAGGAGAACGAGGAGAGTGAGCTGTGGAGACAAAGGAGGAGAGAGTTTGAGAAAAAAGGCAGATGGATACCAGCAACAAATGCCTCAAATGGCAGCTGGGAAGAAGTCATTGGTGAGAGATATGAGGATGGGGCACTGTTTGAAATGGGCTAAGGGAGGAGAGTTGAGTGATTAGAAAATATGAGAAGTCTGTTAATGAAGGGAAGAAGAGAGACCGTTAGTTTGATGGACTAATGAACTAATAATACTTATGATAATGACAAAATTTCCTTGAGTAATCAAAGGCCAGGCACTGTCCTCAGCCCTTTCCAGGCACAACCATCTCATTTCACAGCAATCCTTTCTCTGGACAGTGATTATTATTTCCACTTTACAGATGTGGAAACCGAGATGCAGAAATGAATTGACTGGCTCAAGGTCACACAGCAGGTGAGTGATGGCACCTGAATTTGAATCCAGATCTGTCTGGTACAAACTAGAGCCACCCTGGGAAGGCCTCCTTTAGCATGGGGACACTCTTGAGCCTGCCCATTGCCAGAGTCAAGGAAGAGGTTTTGGAGGCAGATCCCCGAGGAAGTGTGAAATGGATGGAAACTCGACTGCAGTGTTGCCCTTGGGTGGGAAGAAGAACCCTTTCTCCCCCTGATATGGGGGTGAGGATGTGAGGCGTTGTTGAGAGGAGGGAGGGTAAGCCCTCCCATGGCACCTCCATCTTTCAGGAAGGGAGGCAGGGCCACAGTAAGGCCAGAGGGGCAGCAGGGATTCGCTGAAGCTCCCGCAGCCATGGTTTGTCCTCAGCCAGAGGGCAAGGGAGTCAGCCTTTCTCTGACATGGTTTTAGGCCACGGGGCCTTGAGATAAAACCCAGTTTTGGGCTCTGATAGTGCTAAGCCAAGCAGAGCTGATTATTAAATATCCAAAGACATAGCTTCTGATAGAGATATAGGTGAGCCACCCCCACCTTCCATCCCCAGGACAGCTTGCTAACAGGATCCTGTTGTGGCCACAAGTGAATTTTCCATGATCCCTAACTCTTTGATTCAAGCAGCCATTCCTGGAGAGGAGCCCTTAGGGAGAGCGTCCCGTCCATCCAGATTTTCTGACTGCTGCCTAGACCACCTTTCATGTCTCCCCGAATTATTAAGTTGACTACTGGGTGCTTAGAATGTCTCAAGTTCAAAGACTAGCAGGTTGGAACTAGATGTCTAAGGGACCCTTGGGCACCTTAGCAGGAGGAACATTAAGATGTGGCAGCTTGGCTTATCAGGAGACTGGATAGGGATCAGAAGGAATATGTTTTATTCTGTGGGCTGCAGAACACAGGAGTTGGTCTTCTGATATTGGGCCTATAGGTGGGTCCAAGTTTTGTGGAAGTTTCTTGGCCGTGCAGTTTGGACGGGAGGAAGTGAAATGCAGTGGTTTGAGTCTCTGCTCCTTGGAGCTTCTGGGGTGAGCGGGACGGGGATGTCTGGGTGCGTGATTGGAGCACAGAGGAAATTGAGCAGGGCATCCTGCCCCTGCTCCATCAGAAGCTCTGCTTTTCATTGTTTTATAAATTGGAGTTCCCAACAATGTCATATTTTATTTTATTTTTTAAAAGAAAAGGCTTTTATTGCTTAAAAACATCTTCAATGCGGTGGCAAGTTTTGGAGTGAGAAAAACTGGGGTTTGGGTCCAGGATCTGACTGACTAGCTGTGTGACTTAGGTACAGACTTGGGTGCATCACGTAACATCTTTGAGCTTTTTATCTGTAAAATGGGATCATAAAGTCTTCCTAATGGGAATGTTCAGAAGACCAAACTAGGGAATGTATGAGAAGGTCCTAGAATGGGTCTTGGCATGAAGATGTTTGTGATGGAATAAGTCATTTATTTTCAAAAGAGTTACTTTCAGAGAGAGTAATTGTGACCTAGAACTTGAGAGCCTATTGTGGCAAGAACTGAGGGCAGGTTCTTATTTATCTCTCAGGACAAATCCTTGAAGGCATGATGACTCTGCCCATCCCATTTCCAACTTCAGATGAAAAACAGGCTCAGAGAGGTTATGTGACTTGCCCATGGCCTTGCAGCTGATTCACAGCAGAATTGGAATTCTAGCAGAGACAAAGGGTCAGGAGTCAGGGTCTCAGTGCCACTAACTCATTCATTTTTCCTACAAATATCTATTGAACCCCTCGGTACATGCCAGGCACATCCTAGATGAGGGACTCTTGTCATTGGAGGTGTGTGCCAGGAACCCCTTAGCATGACATTCTAGGTCTGTCTCAATCTGGCCCTTGCCTTTCTTTCTAGGTCCTCTCCTGCCACTTGCCCTTTATACACTGTGATCTGGAATCACCATATCCTTTCAGCTCACAAACTTTTGAACCTGCTGTTTCTTCTGTCGGAGATTCCTTGGCTTCCCCTCTCCACCTGGAAAACTCCTATTCATTTGCCAAGGTCTAATGTCGCCTTCTCTGGGAAGTCTTCCTTGCTCACCTCCTGACAAACATTATTTTTTATTATTTGTATAATTAAATTTCCATTACGTTTCAGTTTCTGAATGTTTAAATAACTTCTCTAAGCTTATACAGCTGGTTACTTTCTGAGTCAGGATTTGAACTTGGGACTTTCTGACACCAAGGCCAATGAAGATAATGAAGCCAATGAAGCCCCTGGAACACATGGCTGCTAAAGTTAGTGGTTCCTTCTCCGAGCTCCCAGGGCGCCTCTGCTCTGTTGTCGTCACACTTAATTGTATTCATTTGCTGGTGAGATTTCAAGGAGAAATGGCTGTATAGGAGTCATTATGACTTTTCAGCAAAGAATCAACAGTGTAGATAATAATGAAGGTAATTAATATGCCTGGTTCTGGGCTAACCTCTCAATTTTCATTGTATCATTTATTACTTATGACAATCCATGAGACAGTGATTATTTTTATTCTTCTCATTTCACATTCAGGCCAACTGAGGCTTAGAGAGTTGAAACCACTCGTCCAAGTCCTAGAGCTAAAAGAGGCAGAGTTGGAATTCAGACTCGGTCTGGCTCATTCTAGAGCCCACTGTCTTAACTGCTATCTCACCGTACTTTTCCTGACATGTTCTGTCAGATCCTGACATGTTCTGTCTGATCCTGAGGTGGTGCTGGGGGTACAGAGACAAGTGTCACACAGCTCTTACCCCCAAGTTGCTCATAGCCAAGAGGGGAAGGCGGACATCCTGTTGTGAATAGGTAATCACAACGCATGCTACAATGCAGGTAGCTCAGAAGAAGGAATGAATAATTCATTCAACAGGGAGAGTGCTAGGG